AGCCGCAGTCGGGGTTGCGTGTGCCTATGCTGGGCGCAGTTCCGAGGTGCTCGTCCCATTTATTTTGAGTGGGATTGGTGTACATCGCACTTCAGGTGGTATATGCAGGACGCATGTTGTTGGGTGTATCGGACCGTTGCATGGTTGGGGGAGTGCACTCCTGGCTGCTGTGTGTGGCTATGTTGGTGCTACGCGCTTCCCCGTTACGTGCGTGACGAGTCTGATTGATAAGTGGATACGCATACATATAATATGGCTAATATGTGGGTGTCCTGGTGTCCGGGTACATGCGTTTTTTTCTGCAGTGCGATGGGAAGGTCAGGGGAACAGAGAGTAGCGAGAGACGAGAAATGGGTTTTTCTTTGGTGGCCCGGGTGTTTCGCCAAATGGCAATACTAATGTTGATGGGCCTTGTGGGGTTCTCTCGTGGTTTCAGTATGAACAAGCCGGTGTGGGGGGCAGACAGAGTTTATGTGTCTGTCTGTTGGGTGGCTGATGTTTATACTGATCGTAAGGAGTAGACCGGGGGCGTGTGTGGTGTTGCCCTGCCTGGTCTCCGCTCTTTTCCCCTCCCCCTTGGCGAGCAAAGGGGGTACGCAAAATAATAATGACAAATTTCGAAAGCGTCGAGAAAACTGGGGCGTTCCCAGATGCATTGGGGGCGACGCGAGTCCAAGCTCTGTAGGGGAGGGCAGCAGTTCTTCACCAGCGCGCCCCCAGATGTAGGGGGGGCAATGCGGGTCTACGCTCTTCAGATGTAGGTGAGGGCAGCAGTTCTTCACCGGCGCGCCCCCAGATGTAGGGGGGGCGATGCGGGCCTACGCTCTCCAGGTGGAGGAGGGCAGCAGTTCTTCACCGGCGCGCCTTCAGACGTAGGGGGGGCGGCGCGGGTCAACGCTCTCCACATGTAGGGGAAGGCAGCAATTCTTAACCGGCGCGCCTCCAGATGTAGGGGGGGCGGAGCGGTTTAACGCTCTCCACATGTAGGAGAGGGCAACAGTTCTTCACCCCCACGTCTCCAGATGAAGGATGGGCAGCGCAGGGTTTTCAGTTGGGCGGTTCTCCAGACGAAGGGGGGAGCTGCTCGGTCATCTCAGATCTCCGCCAACGCGCTTCCAGATGTAGGGGGGGCAGCGCAGGCATTTGTCGTTGCAGTCGGCGAGCTTTCCAGGGTGGCGAGCAGCAGCAGGGGTCTTTGCTGGTGGGTTGGAGGAGCCGGAGCCCGCTCGGCAACAGAGTCAAGACCCCTGCCGAGATCGACAATTTTCGGTTGGTACCGTTAGTAGAGAATACTCGTAGCAGTTTTGAGTTTTTTGTGTGTAGTCGCAAATATGGGAGGGAATCCAATGTTGCGTTAAACCGATGTTAGTGAACGTGCATGTCTCTGACGACCTCCCCTCACTAGTCGCTACCGTGTTTGTATCGTATCAATGTTTTCCCTTGCTGTTTGAATTGTTCGCGTAGGATATTCGCAACAGCGAAACGCAAAGGCTAGATGTCACGGGGGAGCACTGTGGCAGTTCATGCGCAGTGACGTTTTGGGTATTGATCTGATGTTCTGTTTGCTGCGTGAGAGGTCGTTCCAACGCTCGCAATCCGGACTGCCGGGGCCCCTGACACGCAATAAGTTGAATGATTGTGTTTCTTCATGCCTGTTGCTGTATTTTGGCCAGAGTTGGTATTTTATGTTTGTCTTCCCCTGAAAACGTTGAGATGATCATCCGAACCGTCGATGTAGTTTGGTCCGCTTGGTATGTCGCTATTTTGGGGAATTGGAGTAGGTAAGACGCCAACGTTAGCACTGCATTTGGCCTTCGTTTCTAGGGAATTGGAGTAGTGGAGATGACAACGAGGATGTTTTATTTGGTAGGCGTAGAATCATTGCGAGCGTTTTTGGCTCGGTGGCCGGGTTTTCCCTTGCAACGATTTTTTTCTGTGTGATTTTCGGTGATACCCGAGCACGTTGAGCAACACACGGTGATGGTTGAATACTAATGTAAGGAACCAGGGAGGATGTTCATGTGTGTGCATACGTGGGAAGGATCTGAGGACGGTTCTGTGCTCCGTAGATGAAGGGACATATGGTACCTCTTGTGGTAAACTTTCGATGAGTCAGCGGTGCCCGCAACAACAGCAAAGCTGATCATTACAAAAAAAAAAACTGCGGTGATTTCCCTCCTCCCGTGGTGTGACCCCCGCCTAGTGCGTCAATCAAAAAGCAAAGACTGGCGCCTGGATTCAACGGCACAGGAAGGCCGGCACACATGTCGTACAATGTACGGATGGCTCCCTTCTACAAGCCAAATAAAAACAATCAACGATTGATGCGTCGGATCGCGTGATATGACAGAAACAGCACAAATACGGATGGATGCCGACAAGAACACTGACTTCAAATTCGAAGGAAAATGACAAACGCATCGTACGCGAGTCCTGAAAGAGACGTGCCAGCAGCACCAGCGCACACCATCTATGCTGAAAACAAACAAAGCGCCATCACCGAGTGTTTTCTGCCCACAATCCAATAAACGAACGCTCTTGATACCACCCTAATTCATGTTCTTGGATTCTGTACCGGATGAATGTACTCCGGCGACGTCAGAGAAAAAGTCCATCTCCGGTGGTTGCCTTCACTTTGAAAGTGGCAGAAGGGTCCAGCAGTTGTCTTTCCCCCGAAGTCCCTCAGCAACGAAGCCATCTTTAGTAAAGTAAAACACAGTACTGGGTGCGAAAGAGAGAGGAAAGGCACGTCAACAATGTACACGAACTCACTTTACACACTCACTTTGAAAACACTGACTTACATTACACAAATGGGCTGTGTGGGCCTCACTACGTACTATACACCGGCGTTGTTTCTCCAGACCATTGAATGAACAAGCACGCCTCGGGTGATGACAACCAAAAATGAAGAACCCATAGACTATTGCACTGCGTCATCTGCGCGCCACACCACCAACCGCCCTTCGCATCAATACTAGATATCTACTGGTAGACATGTTCAAAATTTACACATCAAACTAAAGCAACCACCGTAGCATCAGCAAGTTCCATCCGACGAAGCCGCCCGCCAATGATACCGCTGCCGCCCTGAGATGAATCATGAGAAACATGGAGCCTCCCCACACGCGAAACGGCTCGCGCCCCGTTAGACCCCACGATTCAGCCCATTGGTCAGCGGTGATCATGCGTTCGCTGCCTCCGCCGGTTCAGCAACAACAACAACAACATGAGCCGCGATCCCCCCGCAGACAGCCAGCCGCCTGAGAAATAAGTACTACACCACAACACTCGCGTCCCCTACCATCTCGTATATCGGACACCCTCTCGTATATCTGACAACCTCTCCTTCTTCTGGCAAAACCTCTCGTATATATCTGACAACCTCTCGTACATCTGACAAGCCTTGTATGCCGGACAGTCTATCACGCAGTGGTGGTGGTGGCGACGAGGCTGCCGAGCGAGAGCACGCTACTAATAGCGCCCGTGCCGCTCACCATCCCGCCGAGAGACGCCGCGTCCCAGGACGCCATGCTGTCCTCCTCTTCCCCGCCCCCGACCAGGCTCGCGGCGGCGGCGGCTGCCGCCCCGGCTTGTTGGCGCAGCAGGACTTCCTGGGCGTGGCCGTGAACCTCCACCTTCTCCATGTAGTCGAGAATCGTCTGCGGGCGTTCGGGAGTATGCAATTGAGTGGGGAAGGAATGAAATTGAAAAAATATCGTGAGAAAGTAGCATCAAATGCAGTCAACTTGCAAGAGAGAAATAAAAAACGAACAAAATTCCGTAGGCTGCCAAACCATTTTTCTTATACCCTCATGGGCGTGCCGCTGGTTCAAGGATGGGCGGTAGCCGCTCAGTAGCCCAAAAATGAACGCGGCGACAATGAACCCACCGGCATCGTCAGGATATAGAAATACAGGATACAGAAATACACGAAAGTATTAATTCATGAATGGAAGGGAGAGCGGGACAACCGAGAGAGGCACGCGAAAAAGGATAATGATATATTTCTCCACAAGATTGTTGATGGCACAAGAAAAACATTTCCCTTTATATCAAACACACACGTGAACTAGTAAAAGCCGAATAGGAGAGTAACCATTGTGTTTCACTCTTTCCACAATCTCGTATTCTAGAACAAGGCCGATCGAGCTCTTCAACGCGTCTTAAACAAAAGTTCTCGGGCGTATGGGGGGCGAACACGACGGGCGTTGTTCCTTGGTCGCGAAAGGGAGAAGCTTATCGAAAAGGAGATTGAGATGACAGCGAGGTGCAAACGCAGAGAGAGAGATAGGACCAAAGGGAGAAAGAGAGACAGAGACATACAGACAGACAGAGAGAGAGAGAGANGAGAGAGAGAGAGACAGACAGACAGACAGACAGACAGACAGAGAGAGAGGGCTAAGAGACAAGAAAATGAATTGGGGATACAAACAACCACTGACACGACAGCGCCGAAACCCAAGGCTACCAGACTTCCAGCAGCCTCTACCCCAACTGTGGTCGGAACCGACCGAGAACAGGAGGCAACGAAAACCCTTACCGCGGGGGGCGGCCTGCGGCTGATGAAAGACTGCATGACGGCGAACGCCCGCGGGTGCCCCGTCCGGCACGCGTCCATCGGAGTCCTTCCCTCGTCGTCCCGTGCCGTCTTGTCCCCGCCCACGAGCAGGAGGTAGTGGCACATGTGTTTGCGGCCGGCGGAGGCGGCGTGGTGGAGAGGGGTCCTCCCGGACCGCTTCGAGGGGGTTCACGACGCGGGGGTGTCGAGATGCATCCGAGCACGCGGGTAGAAC